TGAGTACGACCTTGGGAAGATGCTTCTCTGCGTCAAACAAGCACAAGCCTTTGACATGGATATTACATTTCAGTCCCCACAGAACTAATTTGGGAACAGTGGAGCAGGAGATCGCTTTTTGGTCTGTTTGACGTGAATGACTTTAATATGCAGTAAACAGTTTAAAAAGCAAAAAGTAATTTCTGTAGCATTCATAGCATTTTCTTTAGGTTTATTTTCCTACATCATCGAGGTGGTTTAAAAACAGTGCTTTCATTTTTCATGTGAGCTACCGTGTATCGATAGATCTTTCAACATGAATAATGCAACCCAAAACAACTAACCATGCAAGCAGCGGGGTTGGAGGGACGGCAGGTTCAGTCAGTCGGTTCACTGGATTACCATGAAACATACGTACAGGACAGTCATGGTTGCCTGAAGTTGTCCCCCAATGACTCATCCTGTGATTTTTCCTTTAGCGCCATCAACTATATGTCCCCATGGCAACAGCATCTTGTCCTAATATCCATTTAGAGTGAAGTGGAAACACAAACCTTCCTCCGATAACATGTTAAAAGGAAAAACCAATAAGTCTGTAAAAGTAAAACACAACAATTATTTAATCATTTTAGACTTAACGTCTAACAATCCCTTCAAAATGAGCTGTTGTATGCACAGCTTTGGAGCTGCTGAACGTTCTCATCTCTTCACCCTGAGATAAGAAGCATGACTATCAAAGTCTAATAAAGTATAAGCTGAATAAAATACTTACAACATATGTATCTATACTAGAGAATAAAATTACCCTCCAGGGACCCTTATTCCTAAAGATTCTCATCTAAACGATTAAGTTGACTGTTTCTTTAAGTCCATAATGACATTAGTGGAGAACATTAGGAGTGCAGTGCGTCCGAGGGCTCATTAGGTGCTTAAAAGTCACTGGTATTTGAACATATTTCCACCGTGATGATCGCTCCAAATGGACTACTGTTGTTTCTGCCTTTTCTTTCAGTTACCTTTTGCAATGCTCTTCCTGCTGTGTGTGTGTGTGTGTGTGTGTGTGTGTGTGTGTGTGTGTGTGTGTGTGTGTGTGTGTGTGTGTGTGTGTGTGTGTATTTATGTGTGTTTCATCCCTGGGGATCTGAGACTGAAGTAATGAAATGCTCATTACTGATTCAGCTGGAAATGCTGGGGATACATTTACACACCTACACACACACTAGCCATCCAGACGCTTTTCAAGGTCACCTAGCATAGTGTGTGTGTGTGTGTGTGTGTGTGTTTGTGTGTGTGTGTGTCTGTGTGTGTGTGTGTGTGTGTGTCTGTGTGTTTGTATAATATAGAGAAAGAATTCATGTTTGTTGTATACATAGAACTTGAGGAGCAGCTATTGGGCATAATTGGGGCCTTAATTGACAGTTGTGTACAATACGCTACGGGCATCTGACATCAAATACGATCATTAAAGCAGAAACTCACACACACATATTCACCTTCGCTGTCAGTTCCCATTTAAACTCATAGTAAGTCTTTGATTATCTTTAATTTCTCTAACACATGGACAGACATACACACGTAACACACACAAACCTGAACTAACTGAGGTTACCTCCTGTGATTAGACAAGATCGTACAAATGCAGCCTTTCTTACACACTAAAATGCATTAATTCAGGTCTGCTTTACACACAGAGCATTCAGATCAAAGCATGACTAACGCATCTCTGTGACACCTAGTGTTCATGCACAAACACACCCAGTGTTGTTTGCCTTCATTAGGAAGAAGCTGTTTTGTCTGTTGGATCTAAAATGGCTAAGTGAAGAAATGCATGAAAGGGAATTTCTCTGTAATGTGTGAAGTGGGAGATTTGTTGAAGTTGAGGCTTGGATACTAATGCCTGAACTCTACAATGGATGTTCCACATTACATCATATGTCAGAGAAATTGCAGTTTTCAAAAATGTCCAATATTCTTTTTGCGGACACATTTATTTGCTCGGACAGGATTGGATGATGTATAAATGTCGCTCTGTTAACTCTCAGTTCAGCTCCTCTCAGGAGGCAAACTGTGCATGGATCCAGCTGTAAGCTGCTTGCATTCCAGATGTCAATGAAGTGGGCTAAAATGTCTGACTCATTTGCGATTGCACTGATCTAGGTTCTGCCATCTACCACTGCAACGTTCTGATTCTGCAAATGTCACTTCTGCCATCTTATTATCACAAGCACTCATTCCTCATTTCAGTGAAGGTTAAACTACCTCATGAGTATATGACCAGGGACAATGTTCATCACTCATTCTGGCTGTGTGTGTTTGTGAGCGGACGTTTTTGTTGCCAAATCTCCATCATGTGACATGTTCTGATTGTTGCTAAGAGACAAACATGATGACGGGCATGGAAGAAGAGACTGCTCTCTGCCACCTGCTTTCAGAACACAAACATGCACATGCAAAGCAGCCTTTAGAAGTTTGAGTGCAATCATTTAATACATTAAGTCTAATAATAAACCTTATGGTACATTTGTGCTCTGATAATAAGTTAAAAAAAAATAAAATATATATATATATATATATATATATATATATATATATATATATATATGTATGTCTATTTAATGCAGTATTTATTTAATTATGTCAACTAAACAATGGATTTGTTTGTTTATTAAATATGATATGTTAAATATGACAAGAATTGCTGCCCTTTTAGTATTTGCGACTGGCGCAATGTTTCTACAGTAATCAACTCAGCTTTTATTTTTTAGATGTTATATGTTAGATATTAGTTATGTAGTTTGGGATGGAGGAAGTATTTAAACTCATCCACTTCAGCAACACCACAGTTTAAAATACTAAGTAGTAAAAATTCCTGAATTGAAAAATGGATTCTTATCATCAGCTGTGTTAAAATAAAGTCTCCATTTTGCTGAAAGATTAGGTGTTTACTATTGATAATTATTAGACTCTATAGCATTTTATTGTTTAATCTTTAACATGTATTATTGTGGTTGGTTAAGGTGGAGCTAATATAAATCTTGTACTCTATACTGTATGTTGATGGTTAACTCCTTTAAACCCTTTTTGTAATTTCATTTTGTTATGTAAAAAATCTAATGGTGTAAAATGCTTTCCCTTCGAAGTATAGTGGTGTAAAGTACCCTTTTGGCAAGAATATTAAGTTAGTCAACATCCTAGTTACTGTTGCTGTTCATATGCAGGTCTTCTGTCATGCGTATGAAACTTCATGATTCAGCAGTTGGTCTTTATTTTGCTGAACTGAACCAGACACCATACTCTGAACCATCCTTTTGCAGCCTATTTTACCTCTTTATCAAAAAGCCCTTTAATAGCAATATGCCTTATTCTTTAGATAATTCCAATTTATTTTCTGACAAAAGTAACAAAAAGGTTGTGCAGAGACTTTAACAGCAATAATAATGCTATGTGGTTTTGTTCCCATAACAAGTTTAAACTAGATGTGGCACAAAGGTTTTCAGCACTGGTGGGAGGAGAGGCCCACTTAAGCTGACACACACACACGCACACACACACACGCACACACCTATTTTCACAGCCAAGAGCAGGGTGTCGTGGCGCAGGGGGTAGAGAGGGTGTGCTGGGAACCACAAGGTTGGTGGTTTGAGTCCTGGCTGCCCCATGCCCCATGTTGAAGTGTCCCTGAGCAAAACACCTGACCCCTAATTGCTCCCCGGGCAAAATGTAAGAGCCATGGGTTAAAAATGTAATGTAAGTCGCTTTGGATAAAAGCGTCTGCTAAATGTCCTGTAATGTAATGTGTCCCATATTTCGCCCTATGCATCTATTTGTTAAAGCTCAATAGAAAGGCCAGATTCTAACTAGTAAACATTATGCTGTGATTAGATCATCGCCACAGACTGAACAACAAAAACATTGTGCGTCTCTAAGACTGATTTTTTTTTTGTCTGTGGTTTAAATGTCTAAAATTGTGTGTGTGCGTGCTGGTGTGTGCGTGTGTTTATAAGGGTGTTTTCCTACCTTCTTCATGTCTCTATTATTATGAGATTTAATATTTGTGTGAGTGTGTAACAACTCACCTCATTCCTCAGTGACTGAAAGAGGCTCTTTGTCTATTGTACTGCAGGTGTATTGTGAGACAGAATCACATTTCTCCCCAAGTACGTGTGTAGATGTGTGTGTGTGTGTTTGTGTGTCTTTGTCAGGACAGAGCATGCTGTGAGTGATTTTAGGGACAGAGTCTCCAGGTGATACGTGTAACTGTGTGTGTGTGTGTGTGTGTGCGTGCGTTTAGCTGCCAGCACAGTCTGACTTCTTCCTGTCCTAATCCACTCATTTACCCAGGTTCCTCCCACAAGGTGCTGGTGCACTGCCAACACACACACACACACACACACACACACACACACACACACACACACACACACACACACACACACACACACACACACACACAAGAAAGTGTCAAAGCAGCTGGTTTATCCAGCCGTATGCGCACTAACTTGATCTGTTTGTGTGTGTGCGTTTGTACGTGTGTTGGTTTGTTTGTCTTTTTATTTTGAATGTGTGTCCGGTGACAATGTTTAAGGCAGAAGCACACCGGCTCAGTTGTGGCTCAACCAGCTAACGACCCTTCAATCAACACTTATAACAGATAACTCAACGAGAACGGATCGTCGCACACTAACACCAGCGGGTGTTAATAAGAACGTGTGAAATGTCGTTAGTAAAGGAGCGGAAAAGAATCTATAGCAAGAAATAATAAATAATGCTGCAGTAAAGTAAAGAAGTATGAAAGCCTAACAAAGATATTGCAGGATCACTATGTCTCTTCAAAACATTAAATGACACAATCCACTTCTCTATAATAAATAGCGTCAAATTACAACCTGCTCATAATCAAATGGGCATTTGTGGAGCAGGTCAGGCAGCGTTGATAAAGCGAACTGAAGCTCATCTGACATTTCAGTACCAAATGCTTGTGTACTTATGCTGGGATGTACTTTGTCACTGCATCTGTTCAGGTGACGCATCCAGCGGTCGTAGTGCAGGAACAAAGGAGTTGGCTCCTGCTCGTCGCCCCGTCCCTCCTCATCACCTCCCTCCTCCACAGGTTGGTCATGGTGGTTCCTCCTTTCACATCCACCGTTTCCCTCTCAAACTCATGGGATGTTCTTGTCACGTGACATTGTTTCATGATCTCTCTCAGGTCGTTCGAGGCTCAGCTCACAGGTCGTGTATCGAACCTCTGACCCTGGCGACCATGCTGCTTGTTCTGCTGTCGCCGTGGCAACACCGCTGATGGCGGAGATACGGCCTTACAGAGACAAAAAGACTAAGAGGCAACCACAAACGTTTGGTGGTGAAGTTGAGAATTTGTAATTCCTTTAAGTACAGGTCTACCACTCTGATTGTTTTTGTTTTGGGTGGGTTGGGTGGGGATGTTACCTGGACTGACCTCCACATGTGGTTGTTTATGTGAATTTAACTCTGATAGGATAGACTGCACAGCACTACTAACTTTTTTTTGAAGAGAGATGTAAATACAAATATATATATTATATATTTATATAAAGATTTTTGATAGATAACAATGGCTTGATGTGTGAATAGACAATAATATAGAAGACAGCGGAATGACTTACATGGTTAGCGTTGTTTTGTTTTGTTTGACCTTTACAATGGACTTTCCCCACAGAGACTGAGATCCATGACAGCTGTAGGTCAAGTTGAAGACTTTCAATGTAACCGCAGTTTACTTACAGTGAAGTGAAGACCTGTATTCATTTTGAAGAGAACTTTGGCCAAAACAAAACTTTTACAGCATAATGAAGAATTTGAGCCTTTGGCCTGTAAGTCTCCACAGATTGAAGCATTTGATCAACATCTTGAACCCCCCCAAAATGATTCTTTAGTAGCAGAGATCTCTCCTACAAAACAGAAGACACAATCATCTGTCTGGACATCTAAAAATAGCAATTTCATCTAAATCAACTTTTATCTGGGGAGTGAGACCAAATGCTTGCTGGCACAATACTTTTACACCATAATATGTTAGAAGAAGAAGTTGGCTATTATTTGATTCATATTCATCACATGTCGGACCCAGATGGGTTTTTGTTTTTGTATTTAAGGAACCTCACCCAGCTATTGCTCGGCAATATACATAAACAAGACACCAACTCATACCAATGTGCATAGTGTAGAAATAAGTGAATATAGAAAATTGTTCCCTAACACGGCGAAATACAAGGATGGGCTATATTTTTGAAAAGGCAAAAAAATAATATATGGCTATAAATTTACAAAACATTTAATAATGAACATATAATTTGCAGCATATTGTTATTTCATGGAGGGATGCTCAGAATTCAACTAAATGTGCTATATCAGTTTAACATTTACATTTGTGTAGAAATTTTAATGTTGTTGTAGCAGGAAGCCAGAACACCAGGATGAAACAGCCAGTTAGCAGTTAGCTGTTTCTCTTTCCAAGTTCTGAAAAACAACTGCAGTAATATCATTTGACTTAACCAGTGACGCTTTAGTGAAACGTAACGAAACCTGCTCTAATATATTGTCCTGCTACTCTGTTTTGTTGTTAATCTCCAGCATAATATTATAATAAATTAAATGTTTTCAAATACGTACTGAGTTTTGTCTTCTATATGTTGTGTAACTGTCTAGGTGTAAGATGCGCCACAAATGGGACAGAAATGATAAATAATAACAAGGATAATATCAAACGTCTTGCATTGAAAATGTGTACTTCATAGAGTAGATGGATAGACAAAATATGATATGTCTGTGGTCCTCTATCTACACTACCTGCATGTAGAGTTTCTAGTCTGGTTAAAATGAAGATGTGTTGCTCAAAATGTATCTAACAAATGATTAATTAAACACTTAATTTGGGAACTTATTTGGGTATTTTATGATCATCGCATCCCCCACTTCTGGGGTGCTAAAGTGGGCTCAAGCATAAGGCACGCTTGTTGCCATCAGAGCCTTCGGGAACGCAGCTGCAGCTCTTTGGCCTCTGGCCTCTTGAGCGATTACTGTGATTGGATTGGCATGGTTAGGAAGTTGGCATAGTGTGCTCGGTTAATGGAGGGAAACTGCCAGGGGATGATGGAAAATGAAGACCTCATTGAATGCAAATTTCTGCAGAGAGAAAGACAGAGAGAGAGAGAGAGGGAGAGAGAGAGAGAAAGAGAGAGAGAGAGAGAGAGAGAGAGATCCTAATGTCGGCACAGTCTTATGCCATCCAAACAATCCGTTTCACTGTAAAAACGTTGTTTCAAGATGTACTTAAGTGCAATACGTGTAAAATAATCTTTTTGTCGTCGTTTCTTGGTTTATCTTTGTGCTGTGCTTCTTGGATTAACAAAGACCCGGAAGCTTAACTGCACGGGAGGTGGATTTATGCAAACGAGGCCCACGAGTCAGTGTGCTCGTCACATGAACACAGTGTAAGAACAGGCAGGGGGAGAGGTGAAGAGGGATGCGGCACAGGTCACAGCGAAGGAGCGGATTCGGGGATTTGCAGGATGTTGTTCCACTAAGCCGGACTTGAGGTTTTCTGTGCTGAATAATACCCTTCCTCTGTGTCCAGCTCTAATGAAATCAGACCTCTGATTATTTTAACCCTGACCACGGGTTAGAACCGAGGTGTGTCATTTAAATCAAATCTATCTTAATAGCCCCGGCCGTGTTTGCTGCCTTTGAGGCGCACATTAGATCAGATGACTTAATGCGTACATGTTGCAGCGCCACATGGTTTTACAGCCGTTTGAAGCTATAAAAACGTGGCCGCGAGCTTCCGAAGCTACAGAGATGTGTGGTGATCACCTCGGAAGACACAAAGTAACACAACTAGATTCATGACTGATTTGTGAGGCTTTGACAAAACTATAAATTTAAATTCATTAAATGTATTTCATTTTGCGGGGACAGCGCACATAGTTTTTAAGACAGCATAAAATGACAAAATCTCAAAAGCAAATGTAATCAAAATTCATAGACAAAGGAAAGACAACGTATTGACAAGAACAATACACAAAAGCAAAAAGAAAAGTGTACGACAATAGACTACAGCAACAACAACAGGCTGAAGCATGCGTCAGGCAGAACAAACCTACAGTAGAAACACATATACAGTGTAACGCTGAAGCACATAACATACACAGAGAAAAACAATGATGCATATACCCATATTTATTTTGAGTCAATCAATCTGGAAAGATTCCTAGGATTTTCTTTTTCTGAAATGCCTGATTCACGTAGGATATCAAGTAATGTGCTGGTCCTCTTAGTGACTGAACAACTGCAATGTAAGAAAGAACGAGCTCTTTCACTCCGCAGTAGGTAAGTAAAATGAACTGCATCAGTCACATTGGATCTCAGGTATTACTCTATTGAGAATGGGGAAAATGCAAATTGCTTTTCTTAAGCTTCTTAGTTAATAAGAGAGCGTTGAATATCAATGGCTGCTGGTGGAATCTGAATGGCTGCGGTTTGGCAAGTAGATCAGGTTTTTAGGACTTTCAGTTTCAGTTTAACCCTGAAAGATGAGCGACTTTGCAGCCCACGCCGACATTGCTGAAGCAATCAGATATCATGCGCCTCACTGACACATCAGTTGGTTTATGTTTTGATGAAATGCCCTGAATCATCTGACTATCTGTAACCTTATGCACTAAACATTGTTTCCAGAAAAAAACGCAACTGCAGATTTTTCTTGCCATTTACAGGCAGCTGAAACATGCTACAAGTCTTGCCCGGGTGTTTAGAGTGAATTTTGAGTTTCCTTCTTAAACATTTAGCATCATCCTGTCTCCGAAAATGTTGTTTCCCGCACAGCAATACCGCAAAGTGTTTTGGGGTTTGAGATAAACACATTTTACCCTCCTTTTTTTTAATCTTTTGAAATATATAACATACATTTCAAAGGGTCGTCTGCTTTGGTTGAAGTTGTGCTGATGGATAGAGACCCATGAGGCAGCTATTTTGAGAAGAAGTAAGAAGCAAGAGACACATATTTACATGCCTCCTTAATTTCATGCTATTTTCAGGTTGAAGCAGGTTCACAAGGATCTGGATACCAGCCAGTCATTTTCTACCTGCCCATCTTGTCAGCATATACTGGCTGGTGGTTTGGAGATATAATCTTAATTGTCAAATAGTTGTGATGAGGTGTGAGCTATTAAAATGTCAGTCAGAAAGATGTGTTGCATGTAGGTGTGCATACAGTGGGCACACCTACAGGTGAGCTTTGGGATTGAGACATCAGGAGTGTTTTCTTCAAAGGGTCCGCTGCCGTTTCTTGTCTCTTCGGTTCGGTCCTGCAACTGCAGATGTAAATATCTGTCTTACTGACGTGTAGGGAGACTCAGTAGATAAGAAAATACTTCAGTGCCACTCATTACAAGTCATAGCAGGCTGTGCTACCTTGTCTTTCATTATTCTTCTGATGCCGGGTGTAAACGAGTCCGGGCTGAGCCAATGAGACTCAGTTATGTGGTTGATTCAAGTGTCAATGACCTGTGGTGACTCGCCTCCTCTAACAATCTCTGAGGTTCACAATATGATAGAGACTCAGTTTGAGGCGAATCTCCTAGCCAAGACCAGCCAAGACCAATGTTCCTACAATAACATCAGCTTCATTTTTACACCTTTGCAGGAAGATTTTTCCTTGATTAATGACCACGTGAACCAAAGATCACGTAAACACAGACTTGTCAGTTGATTATTCCTGATTGAACGAGCTGACAAGGATCAGCTGAGGGCCCCGTAGGCTTTTTTCACACGTGTCACGGCGGGAAAAAACAGATGTTAATGTTAAAACAAATGATCTTTTCATTTTAACATTCTTTGTTTCAGATGAAGATCGGGCGTCTGTGGAAAACCTAAATCCCACCAAATCCCATCAAGTTCTTCAAAACCTAACTGGTCAGAAGTTTGGTTTAATGGTGTTCTGAATTTCTGACAATAACCACGTGATAAAAAAAAGGAGACTGGGTTTCAGTACACGGAGATACCTAATGTTCAGTATCATTATTATGTACCGTCCCTTTACCTTAAGCCGTGGTCAGTCACCATCTTTGACCACATCCAATTTAAAAGTGACTACGTCACATTTAAACCTTTCTTGGATTCAATTTAGCCTACAATTTCATTTCATTTCAGCTGCATCTCTGAGTTTCTTGAGTCAGATTCCTGCCTCTGACCTTTACCTGCCGGCTTCTGGGTCGAGCACCGCTGATGGGGAGGATGTAGGAAGATTAGGGAGCGTCTGACAGCTCATCGGTCACGTCCATCAACCCTGTCAGAGGGACGCGCTAAATCCTGTTTACCAACAGGGTTACATTGCACTACAGCTGTCTGTCTACAGCTTTGTGTGCTTGTGATAGAAGATATGGCACCACTGACGGTGAAAGATTTGAGCAACGTTCCAACGCTGTAGACCAGGCGTGGTTGGAAAAAGGAATCATTTTGGATCCCTTTTGCTCTACAAATTATTGAAAATTTATGCATTTTATGTTGTTAAACATTAAGTTGTTTGATAATGTTTCGAATAGCTTAAAGATGAATTAGAATAAACACTGGCTTTTTGAGCTATAGTTGTGATTTTAGTGTCAATACAAGATGCTGTATTTGGTTTATTTTAACTACCCCACATTGTTCTTTCTGAAACGGTTGCTTTTCATGCAAAGACTACTGACGAATTCAAATATGCATTCCTATCAGATTTAATTTAAGGGTTTTTTCGGCTTTTGAAGAATGTTTGTAAGTACTATCATGAAACCAGTGTGTACTTTACAATGAATGAAGTGCATTCACATGTTTAGTTATTACAGAGAGAGAGAGATACCGGACAGTTCTTCTCCTGTCTCAAACCCCACCTATGTACCGGATTTTGCTCTTTTGTTTCCCCTTTTGTTCCATCTTAACGGGCGGATTTCCATAATCATGATCCGTCTGCCCCGATTTGACTAAGCGACACCTGCTCGCTCTCTCTCTTTTGTCTCTGACATCTCACAGCCAGCAGCGCCGAGCAAGAGGAAGAGGAAGAAGAATAAGAGGAGGAGGAGGAGGAGGAGGAGGAGGAGCGGGGTGTACCTGACCCTTACAGCCGCCCGTCGCAGCTCTCCTCCCGCAGAAGCGCACGGGACTTGTCCGCCACTGGTGCCTTTCTCTCTCTCCACGTGTCCGTGCGTCAGTGAACAGTTTGGACGCGGACCAGAGCTCCTCCTGACACAACCAGCACGCGTAACAATATATATCTATATTTACATATATATATAGACATATATAAGAGAACTCCTGCTTCATTCCCTCGGAGCAGAAATATTCGGGATTGTCTTGACGGACTGGGAGAAAACGGGGAGTACATTCGGGAAGATGCGTCTCCCGCTGCTCGTCTGTGTCTCGCTGTGTTTGTCCGTAGCACCGGGCCCGGTGTCCGGGGCGGACCGAACCTGCACCGACCTGCGGCAGCTCTACACCGGGAAAGGGTTCACTCTGGTGGAGGTCCCGCAGACCGAGATCTCCGGTGAGTTTTCCGGGGTGATTGAGAAAAACAAAAACAAAAACAAAACAAAAAACACCACGTATTCACTCAAGTCTTAAAAAATACGCAGAAATGTTATGATATCATTTCTCCGGTCTAAATGCTCAGTGACTGCCTTGTGAATACGTGAAGCTTGCTTAGCCAAGTTCTACGTTGCATTGCAACGTTTTCATCGTTCCAAACGGAAAGTATGATGATGCTGATTATTATATGTCTCGCATTGCTCCTATTAGGCATCACTCTTCGGACGCCTCCTCTTGCTTCATTTCGCACCCATCCTCACTGAGGTGTTTCCCCGTCTCATCTCTGTGCTTTCTCAGTGCATTTTCATTGTCTGCCTGCAGATTGGTGGGTGTGAGCCTTGCGTATTGTGGAGCTATTATGCGCTTTGCAGGGCATTTGTGGTTATTTGCTGATGTTTGCACTGCAGGTGTGAAGGCGTTTTTGTCCACACAAAGAAAGAGGAGAATCTAGATTGGCTCTCTGCTGGTGTGTAACTCCGCGTTGCATCTCACTTTGTGTCCCGGGGCATTTCTCATTGTCTGGGCTTCTCTGGTCTGCAGCTGTGGGGTGTGTGTGTGTGTGTGAGAGTGTGTGAATTAATAATGTATTGTAACCAGGGGCATTGGCCAATAGGAAGCCCAGCGTAACCCGCTGACGCAAAGTTAGATTTGGAACATTTATTGCGTTCTGTTGTAATCTTTTGTTTCGGCCAATAATTGAATCAATCGCCAGTCAATCCCCCAGCCAATCAATTAGTCAATCGGTTCAACCCTCAGTCAGTCATACATCACACGTCTGTTCTCTCTGGCCGCCATTCTTCACACATACCCATTTAATCGTCGCCTTGAGGAAAGTGCTGCAAATTGTGAAAAAAACAACTTTTTTTCACCCTTTAGGGTAATTCTCTGAATGTCTGTCTCTTTTTTCACCTAAATGTGTGCATGGGAGGAGGAGAAGGAGACGAAAGAGAAGTGAGACTGAGGTCTATATGTGTGTGTGTGTTACTAATAGAGACCAACAAACCAGACAAGATAGATTTAAAGAAAAGAGAAGACAGAAACAGACTGGGGACGATAGAGACAGCAAGTGAGTCACTCGAGGTCTCAGTCAAATCCGACAAGACTCTCCCGCTACCTTTCCATTAAAAACTCATTTTTTATTGACAGATGAAAAACACAATGCTTCAGTCCCTTGGATCTTGATCTGCTCTCGTTTGAGCAAGAACCCGTTGAAAAACTGACAACCAGATAAGGCGATTCATTCATTTGAAAGCAATGTTGAAAAATCAAGTAGGACAGTCTGGACATGACACCAGTAGTAGATAGTGTGCAATTGGACAAGCAGATGCTCTTAATTCCTTAACAGAGTTAAAAAATAATACCTCTATTCTTTTCACACCTTTTGTCCCATGGATTTAACAGCAAGTCGTCTTTCCTGTTGTCTACCTGTCTGTCTTTGTGCCTGCAGGCGTTTTTAGCTCACTTACATTGTACCTGGTCAATAGTTAAAGACTAGCTCCTCTTACAGTGTGTGAGTGAATGTGTGTATGTGTGTGTTTAAAACTCAGTGAAAACCAGCACCTTCTCCAGGGAGGACACTTACTTTCCTTCACACATGCATTGTCCGCGCAGAGCAGCACACACCCATGTGATCGTATGTCACAGAGACAGAGAGAGACTTTGTGTCCTGCACGCTTCATATTCTGCACTGGGAGGTATTGAGTTTTGATGCCTGTGTTGGTTGTGAAGCCTACGTCACAATCATTTGTCACGTTGTCGCTTGTTTGAAAAAACATGGGAAGGATGTGCGTTTTATATAATACACTGCATGCGTTTTAGGTCGGGTTGGATTACGAGACATTACCAGTTTGGTTACCGGTCAATAACTCCTTGCTGATTTAAATAGGGGGCCTCCATTTATTTCAATTTACACAATTTGAAGGCCCATTCTACATTGAATAATTTAATTTAAACATTAGTTGATGAAAGTAATCAGAAACTGCACCTTTAATTACATAAACAATGTTAATGGAGACATTTTGTGCAGCACTGACTCCATTTTGCAAATGGAAACATTTATTCTCCCACAAGGAATTGTGTTGAGTTCAGGCGCTCGGTCAGTTTCACACGTTTTTGGGAACCTTTGTGTGAAAACTACGCTGGTCAGCAAAAAAAATGTAAATACCTCAAAGTTTAGATGCTGAAGAGCATTTCCTTTCTGTGTGTTTTTAAGATTTACTTTACCTGTGAGCACTACTGCCAAGCCCAGGACGAATGGATGAGTGAATTTAAGCCAGCTCCATATTTCCTCCCTCAGCTCTATCGTCTGCTGATGCTGGCACACATCTGTCCACTGTTTCCGTCTGTGTCCCCTGTGTGTGTTTGTGTGTGTCTGAGTGTTTACGTGTGTGTGTGTGTTAGAGAGGAAATTGATACTGTCCGTCATCTGTCACACATCACATGCTCACTCAGGCGCTCACTGCACGTGCCACCAAGTGGAACGCTGTATGCCCAGTCGACACACGCACACAGTAACACTCACAAACGCCCGTACACACAATCTCCTGGAAACTTTGCCGCTCGTCCTCGCCCCGCGTCCCTCGTCGCTTGCGGTCTCATTCCTTCGATCTCCGCGTTGTTTTGGAAGACGGGCTCCGGCTGTCTGTGAGGGAACGGAGGAGGAAGGAGGGGCTGCGGTTGGCTCAACCGTGTTAAAAGCACAACTGTGAATCTTTCATGATGTCTGATCCAGCGAAATGAGAGAGAGCCAGAGACAGACAGACAGAGATCGAGGTGAGGAGGAGGGGAGAGGACGTAAGCAGGAGGGATCAAAAAGGAAGAGGGATGGAGGCCCCGTCCTGTCATCTCGCCTTCATTGCCATGGGATGGATGACGCTACAACGGGTTTTGATTGTTTCGTAGTTGATCCTGGCTCAGGTGCTCCCACAGCTATTGTCCAGAAGGACTGGAAAGGCCAAATAGATTAAATTCCTCCACCGACAACACGTAATCAAGTCAAAGTGATGAATGCGACGGTAAGAGTCTTACGGCCCTCCTGCGTCTCCACGATGACCACATCCTAACCGGGCGGTGCGTAGAGGGGAAACAAGAAATGAGGGACAAAAGCGCTGAAGGCCTCAACATCAATCTTTGCACCTAAAATCAATGTGATACCAACCAGCGTTGTCTCCCGATGACCTGTGCCCCCCCCTCTGTTTCACACCTCTCCTCCTCAATTTTAATGTTTCATTCCCCGTCTTGTTCCTCCTCCCCCCCAGTCCTCCTTTCCTCATCTTTCTCCCCCTCTTGAGGAATCGTGCGTATCTGTTTTTCCAATACAATGAAATTCACTGTTTGTCTGATGTATTGGACTCGGTGGTTTGGTTGCTTTATGAGTCAATGCTCTTCATACAGATGTTCCACAGGGCCCCTCTACACTATGTCTGTAGGAAGATGTATTGGTGTAACAAGAATTTACACAGTGAAATTAATTGGTTGTACTGCTGTTTTCTGAGCTGATTATTCAGTTATGATATTGCAATCCAATAGAAAACTCATTATAATTGAAGAGCTGATGAATAATTAAAAAAAACATTCTATTACTGATTAATTCATCTTCAGCAAAGAGTTTTCATCATGCATTTTAATTGACCCATTTATTGGCTACAGCTGATGAAAAAGAGATACGTTTCAGTAACACTATAGATGTGTATGTGTGTATTCTCGCACTTGAAGCATTTGTAATAGCTGCTATGACGGTGAATGGACAGGATGAGAGTGGAGGAGATGTGTCCGCTCAGTGCGTTCACTCTGCTTATCACCTGTCATGCAGTGGTGGTTTGTAATTTCAGGCAACGTTGACAGCGCTGATTGTTGTACTGATGAGTACATCAATGCATTGAAATGTCTCATGGAAATATCAGACTGCTGGTACAACACAGGGCAGTTGAAAGTGAACGGAAAATTATCAGGGAAAATTACCATAAAGCGTAACGTGATCACATGACAATTTGCATTGAATCTGCAGCCAATAATACGTAACGGTCAAATACAGACTCAGCATGTTGAATGAGTGCCTTGACTTATATTGTGCAGTACAGCCACCAGGGGAGACACTATATTATTACCACTAATCACAAAGTATTTTCCTCAAAGCAGAGTTTTCATATCGGTCTTATAGCTTAAACAGTCTCTGCAGAAGGAAATTAGGATGTTTTTGTCAGTTTTCCTAACTGCACATGCAAGCACGCCCAGAGCATAGACTGGACCCCCGACCGGTGGAGAGCTTTACAGGAACCAGACTTCGTCCAGGTGTGGTTTTGCGTATGTGGCAGGTGTATCTGTAACAGCTTTACAAGCTAACTTTGCGCCACAGTTTCCAAAAGCAACAGAGGGCTGTGGTCATGATACATTAAGTTAGTGGAGTAAAAAGACGATTGATTTGAATACATCTAACATACAGATGAATAAAGGATCACGCTGAAGCTTTCCCCTGAATTCCAGTGTGAGCTCCTGTGCTGCTTGTTACCCCTCCTCAGAAAACAGTAGATATATGGTTAATTAATAGAGAATGCCTGAGTGCTTATATAAAACAGTGTGATTTTGGCATCCCCGTGTTTGTCTCAGATAGAAGCTTATAAATAGACATGTTTCTGTGAAAACTCCGTGCACGTCTGCTCTGTTTGCGCTTCTATGAGCTTTACTGTGCTGCTCACAACCGGCTCCCCTCAGACTCTCTTTGTTTTTTATTATTATTCTAACCTCCTGAGTGTACGGTCAGAGGCCATTTCATGTTATTCTTTATTGTTATTTTTATGGCATTTCTGCTTTATTAGATAGTTCCCCATCAACAGGGACAGATAACTTTATTTAATATAGTTTCACTGCATATAAACTCCTCCTGTTACAGACACGATTGTACCGCTCAATCATCTGTCAATATCATGTCTGGTAATACAGTTGAAATATCACATCTAGCAG